ATCCCAATCTAGTCTTTCCCTTCACAGAGACCTCCTTGACAACCCTGACTCACTGATGGTTATTCTTTTACAGAACAGCATTGATCAGGTTTAAGTCCTCCTGCTCTAACTACTGGTTGGCATATGAATCATCAGTCCAGACCCTCACTGCATATAGGGCCCCTGCGAACATTTAATTGTGGAAAGAAGACTTTAAAGGGACCAGTATGTATGAAATAGGACATAGCCATTACCACAGTGCCAGGACATGGCAGTGTTCCATTTGTTCTTGCAGCATGGGAAATCAAAGGTGACAAACCAAGTTTGACTCAGGGCTATGGTGTCCATGTTGCCCACATCAGACAAGCCTGCACTGATAGTTGAGCCTAATAGGGAGGAAAGTGTTTAGGGAAGAGATCCCTCTGTTAACTTTTTATGTTGTTCTCTTCTATGGATTAGAACTTCATGCCCTCTTTTGTGGCTTTGCTGTTGATTTTGTAGAGTAGAGAATATTCCTGAGAGCCTTGAAGTCCAGTCTGCAGTATTGTCCTTTTTGGCCCCCAGCTTATCTTACCCACTGTATTCTCTTGGTTGAATTCTCTGAAGGAAAGGTTACATGGACTTTTGTCCTCTTAGTCAAAAGTTTTCACATATAATTGTGTTGTATTACTATAGATTCAGAGTAGAGCTTTATTTTGAGCAATTTAATGAGTAAATTCAGCAGCAAAGTGGAACAAATGGTTCTCTAGCCAGAAGAAATTATGTTCATCCTCTGACTACCTGGATTCTCTTCTCACAATGGTAAAGTAGTCAGTGAGAGGTGCCACTGGCATCCACAGCACCCTGGGCACACAGTCACGTCGTGTCATACAAACAATCCTCTCTCATTTAGAAAAAGTAAAAGAGCATTTTGCACAAAGAAAAAGGAAAAAGACACATGAATGTTGTATCTTTTGTTTTCAATTGGCTGATAATGGAATTTTTGTTCTTGACATGCACTTGTAAACCAATCTTGCCAAGATACAAATTGTTTTGGTTTTTCACTACAATTACCTCTTGTTCCTCTTGTCTTGACTGCTGATGTTCCTCAATGACTCTAATGTCTATTTTATGGGAAGCAGTCTTCCCATGGGTTTCCTTTTACATACTGCAGGGCTATCTTTCTATTTTAAAAAAGAAAACACAGGATGAAAACTGTCACTAACCTCATGGGGTATTTACATAAAATCATTTAGCCCACCCTGAGCAAATAATAGATTCTTTATTGTTTTTTTAAGCTCACTGTAATAAAAAGAACTCTAATTCAGCATTATTGTGCTACCTCAAAGGTAAAAATGTTTTAAGGTCTTCTTTCCTGAGTTCTACACATAATATTTAAAGTGTCTGTCAATTGGAATTGTTTTTTTTTTTAAATCATTGGGGTAAATCTTTAATTGTTTTACACTTGTATTTTAATCTTAGAATAAGTGATTGGAAAGTGATCTATTCTTGCTCTGTGGTTTTGAACATATAATTAAAGTCATTAAGAATTAAATCATTGTTTGCCATAAACAAAGTTGGGTTTTTTAAAGGGAAACTCTAGGGCTTGGCTTCACTCTTGATTAATAAAGGCTGACAAATCACTTTCTGGTACATTCATGTTTGCCCTGTCATTTCAGGGCTCCAGGCCATTCATAGCACTCATCTAGTAGATACACTATTGGGATTCAGGTATAAACTTTTGAAAATCAGGAATGAGACCTGAGCGTATATACTAGTCAGGGTTTTCCAGAGAAGTGGAGTGTGTGTGTGTATATGTGTGTGTGTGTGTGTAAAGAAAGATTATAAGGAATTGGGTCACACAATTATGGAGGCAAGCAAGTGACTCTGCAAGCTAGAGACCTAGGAGAGCTGATGTTTTAGTTCCATTTCAAGTCTGAAGACCTGAGATCCAGGAGAACCAATGTTATAGTGCTGTTCAAAGTCCACTGAGCCAAGACCAAGGAAGAGCTGATGTTCCAGGTAGAATTCAAAGGCAGGAAAAAAGCCAACGTCCTAGATCAAAGGCAGACAGGAAGGAGAACTCACACTTGGGAAAGAGTCAGCCTTTCTGTCCTATTCAAGCCTTCAACTGATAGAATGAGGCTCATTCACATTAAGGAAGACAATCTTCTTTGACCAATTTAAATATTAGTCTCATCTAAAAACATCCTCAAAGAAACACCTAGAACAGCAGTTCGCAACTTTCCTAATGCCGTGGCCCTTTAATACATTTCCTGTGGGTCGCAACCCACAGGTTGAGAACCACTGACCTAAAATAATGTTTAACCATATATCTTGGTACCCTATGTCCCAGTAAGTAACACATAAAATTTTTGTTTTTTTGAGACAGAGTCTCACTTTGTCACCCCTAGTAGACTGCCATGGCGTCATAACTCACAGCAAACTCAAACTCTTGTGCTCAAGCAATTCTCTTGCCTCAGCCTCCCACATATCTGGGACTACAGACACCCGCCACCACACCAGGCGGTTTAGCGACAGAATCTCACTCTGTGTTAGGCTAGTCTCAAACTAGTGAGCAAAAGCAATCCACCCGCCTTGGTTTCCCAGAGTGCTAGGATTACAGGTGTGAGCCACCCCATGCCTGGCCCCTTGACACATAAAATTAACCATCACAACATGTTAGTTGAATTGTTGGGGATGATGTGCAAAAGTATCCAATGTAGGCTCAGCACCCATAGCACATTGGTTATAGTGCAGCTGGCAGGTTCGAAACTGGCCCGGGCCAGCTAAACCACAATGACAACTTCAGCAAAAAACAGCCTGGCATTGTGGCAGGTACCTGTAGTCCCAGCTACTCGGGAGGCTAAGGCAAGAGAATCGCTTAGGCTTAACAGTTGGAGGTTGCTGTGAGCTGTAACGCCACGGTACTCTACCAAGGGCGACAAAACGAGACTCTTGTTTCAAAAAAAAAAAAACAGTATTCAATATACATATCCCTAACTGAGGAGACGAACTCAACAATGAAATCCAACAGAATACATTTGTCTGACAGTATTACTTACAGACAGCATTTCCTTCTC